AAAGTTCATGAAGAATAAAAATCAAAATAACACCGAAAAAAACTACGAGGCTCTATCATCACTGAGAAATTGAGAGCACAAAAGGTTGTGTCGGTTACATAATCGACGGGACATTTTTTTTTTCTGTCGGTTACGCGTCACCGACAAAATTTTGTGCTCTAAAAATGACAGTGGTGTTAATTTCTCATATTGATTTTGCATGAATTTGCGCAGAGGCGCCAATTTAAGCAATTTCGAAAAATAATTGTTTTCTTTCATGAGTAACTGATCCTACAGTTGAAACCCACATGATCATTTGGAGGATCACGATTAAAAAAATCAATACATGAAAAAATAATTTATCATTTATTGAGGTAGCGCGCAAAATATTGGGTCATATAACTGGACTTCGATACGCACTCTTCCTATGAAGATATTCAAAGGTCGCTCTTTCAAGACGCGACCAGAGGTCTAGAATGTTTATGAACGAAAGACCCAACCGATCGTTCGCAAACTGCGAATGCAGTGGGAAAATTACGTGCGCTACGACTTTGAATAATGGATGATCTAAAATTTATTATACGTTTTGATCGAAAAATGCTCCATTTGTGCGCATACATTCCGAAGTTGCGCACGCGTGCTGCTCTACGCATTTCTAAATAGTATGCGCCTTCGCATCTCGGAGCTTAGCGCGATTCGCGTGTCAGGAGTTGAGAAGAGATTTTAACGCCGGGTAGAAAAGTTCGATGGGGCGAAACACGTGATACAACTGTTTTGACTTCCAAGAGGGTAAAATTGCATATCCACGAAATGAAGGAGAACTTGAACTATTTTCCGCTGACTCAGAGGCTTTAACGCAGAGAAGAAAAGTTCGATGGGGCGAAACACGTGATACAACTGTTTGAACTTTTAAGAAGATGGAATTTCATAAGCACGGAATGAAGGAAAACCTGGTGTTCTATATGGACGGAGTTAAACAGAAAGGAACCAAGCCACATCGGGATCGAACTGAGAAAAAGAGGTTTAAAGTTTGGATCCTGCATAAGACTCAATGTAAAAGATAAACTTCAAGTTCAATTTCTGAAAAATTTGCTCCGACAAAAACTTTGAATTTTTGGCGATAGATAGTAGAGCAGTGGTTGAGTTCAAAACCATTCATAACTCAATTTTTTTCAAAATGTGGGTTGGTTCCTTTCTGCTTAACTCAGTCCATATCATCCCAACAAACCCAAATTTCAGTTCGTGTGACCGAACTCATGAAGTTACAAGAATCGATGAGAGAAGTTCGGTACATGAACCGAACGTTCGGCTACACGAGTAAAAAAATCGCAGCGAAAGCGTTGAATTTTTAGAAAATCAATGAGACTGCGTTTAATTTTTAGAAAATTAATGCGACCGTGTTTAATTTTTAGAAAATTACTGCGAACGCGGCGCCCGATGCCATAGTGCGTTGGCTGAATACCTAGTTGCTCTAAACTGCACCGGTTGAAGAACTTCCTGCACCCCTCGGGTCCTGGACAGGACTTGGAACTGCCTTGACTTGAAACCTTCTTGAGAGACTTCTCAGGTGTACTAAATTCACTATACTTACAGCACTTTAAGGTGATTCGATGGACGCCATATTTTGTGTCAGAACGGCATGCGATATATCGCATCAATTGGCTCCATTTTTTCAGGTGCTCGTCGTTTTTCTCCAATTTTAAGATCGCAATTCTGTTGTCAGGAGACTTAAGCACTCACTTGCCAATTTTAACAAAGAAATTCAACGTAATAAAGGCGTGGTTATTTTAGAGAGAAAATATCGCATTCGAGTGCAGTTTCGATATCAGTATCGGATGCAATGTTTTCTCTCTAAAAAAAAAACCACGCCTTCATTACGTTGAATATCTTTGTTAAAATTGGTAAGCGAGTGCTTTAGTCTCCTGACAACAGAATTGCGATCTCAAAATTCGAAAAAAATGACGAGTAACTGAAAAAATGGAACCAATTGATGCGATATATCGCATGCCGTTCTGACACAAAATATGGCGTCCATCGAATCACCTTAAAGGCGTCTCAAGTCAAAGAAGTTTCAAGGAGTGTCTTAGGGTCACATCCATAGTCGCTCCTTAAACAGTTCCTTTCCGTAGGGCGTCCCTTACTTATGGTTTATACCGTGATTGAGGAAATTTTAATAAGATCTTCAATACAGCATCGTAAAAAGAACCATTTTTTACGAATCTCAAGTAAAATTCAACAGTGTAACTTAGTAAGTAGACCCTTGCAGAGGATTACAATAATTTTCCTCTATAAGAAATAAAAAATACGGAGGGAAAATTTTTGAGAATTTTGAAAATTTAAAGGAGGGTATTGCCTACCTTTAAAGTCCAGCTCATAGAGTTTTTCCTCTACATACATTAATTTTTCGTGGCAAATCATTTTAATCCCTTGCAAGGGCATATTTCCCAAGTTTTACTGTTGAATTTTACTTGAGATACGTGAAACAGGGTGTGTAGTTTTTTTTTCATTTAGGGAAATCCTGATGAAATCCTGTTTTTTCCTGATTTTTGGCTGCTGAATCGTAATTTTGTGCGCGGAGAAAAATTAATGTAATGTAAGTTCACAAAAATAGCTCGATAAGAAAATCCGATCGGAAGGCCGCCTTTTCTCAAATCCTGATTTTACGACCGATTTTTCCTAAAATCCTGATGAGATTGGGGTTAAATCCTGATTGACCTCAAATCCTGATAGAATCGGGAAAGTCGGGAAAATCCTGATCCTAGAGACCCTGTTAAAATTGTTCTTTTTATGATATTTTGTTGAGGATCTCCTTAAACTTCCTTCAATCACAATGTAAACCATAAGAAGCTGATAAAGGAAAGGGGCTAGTCAAGAAACGAAAAAGCATACAACCCTTAAAATGTAACGGCCGATTTAGATAAAAGTCAAACGACTCTCGATTTCGGGCGCAAGGAATTTATCTAACCATGACATCGACCCGAAAAACATCGAAGATGAGGGCGTGAACACCGGTGATCTTCAACGTTCAATTCTTACCGTGGATAAGAGCGAGGGGTTTAAGTGCTCTGTACTTCTGCGATAATGGAACCGAGACGTGCGAAAAGGGCGGAAGTGCAAAAACTCATGAGCCATACTAGACATTATTGACAACGGATGTCAGGGCTCACGAGTTTCCGCCCTGTTCGCGCGTCTCGGATCCGGCCGACAGCGGGAAAAGAGGGGAATATCGGTGCGAATCGCACCGACCGGACATCCGCATGGCGGCCGGCGACAAGGTGCGAAACGACTTATCGCCGAAAGATTAGGCGCCGAAACGAGGAAGGACACGGAAGCGTACTCCGGGATTTGGAACCGGGAAACAGCACCACGCTAAAGCAGGAACATCGTATATGCATCCGAACGCTGTCAAATTCCCCCGGTGAAAATTTTATTTGTGGACAAAGTTATTGATACTTGGAGGGCCAAAGGGCGAAACTACTTACTTCCATTGCGGTGTTTCACAATTTCCGCTTCTATTTTATTTTTTTCGAAAAGAAATGAGCCAACTTTACGGCTTGAGGTTTACAGAAAAAAAAATCAAGGAAGTTTTCATCGAAATACGTCAACTAGCGTTCCAAAAGAAAATAACGGATGACAGGAAGTCTGCAACGTCGCAAACGGAGATACTGTCGTGTTTTGGCCATCGACCTGAGGCATGAAGGTTTAAAAGGGTACGAAGTGACCTCTACCAAATTTTACAGTCGAACCGCGAAAAACTGGATCTTTTTTTGGAACGACGTAATTTAAGCTGTAATTTAAGCTACAACTTAAATTACGGCTTATAAACAACGTAAAGTTAATTTCGGACTTTTCCAATTTTCCCCTTCTACCCCATCGTAACGCTGATTATTGGCATTGATGGTCAAACCTATAGACAAGGAAAACGAAGAGAAGACGGGGCAATCCTACTGGTGGAATCAGGTGTTGGAATTGGACAATGGTAAGTAATAGACTAACAAATGGGAACAAACGAGAGACCCTATGTTATAGTCCATCATTTCCTCCCTTGGTCAATGACAATCACCCGTTTCAGCCTATAGGATAGCTTCATTTTCTCTTTGTCTATCAATTTAAAAAATTAGCCTGCTAAGAGGATTGCAGGGCTTTCAAAAACTGTGTTTAAGAATTCGCAGTTTGAAGAGCCTGGCCGATTAAGACTTCTTTTGGAGACTAAATTTATGACCGTCCAAGGAAAAGGCATGGTGTCTTCATCCTGATTTCCAACAAAAAATTACCGGTAAAAACCTAGGATTCTAAAGCAATAATCTGCTTGATTCAAAAAATATTTTTCTTAATTCAAGAGGAAATTGGCAAAACTTCAAGACATTTTTTCTCCTGTGGTATGCAGTTAATAACAAAATTTGACCTTCTACTTGTAACTTCTCCACGAAAAAAATCCAGAAAAAAAAAGAAACACACAAAACAAAACACATTGTGGAATTTTTTAAAGTATACACATTCACAAAAATAATACTCATGTTTTTTGTCTTTTCAAAGGTTGATTTGATAAATTTGATTAGGCGTCACATAAAAAAAAAAAAAAAAAAAAAAACCCTGCAGGATGGGAAAGTTTGCTTCGAATTTGCCACCTTTCTAATTGTACGTACGTGCATTTAATTTAATATTGGTCTCTCAATGGTGAAACTATCAAACCACCGATCTCAATTAAGGTGTTGGAAAATTTCCATTCAGATCTCGTTCATTGAGAAAATGCTGCTCCATTTCCTGCTAAAAAAATTTCAGAGAATTCTGTTCACGGGACAAAGCAAAATCAAACAATGTTCCGACAAAATCAAAGATCAGGCTCTCTTTAGAATTTTGTAAAATGTGACAGGGGATCTGCACTGTCAAAAACTGAGATACGTGTTTTCATGTTTTCACCAATGTACTGTCCTATAGGCTTCTTCCTTTTCTTGAAACATACACTTAATCAAAGTACCTATCATGCATAATATTTAACTGTAATACTTAGAAGAACTCACCAAAGTTGAATTTTGGCTTCTTTGGCCTAAAAATTCCTCAGACTCTGAACTAGGGAGGTTGACCTAAAATCACAAACAAACAAATTGAAGGACAGTACGGAAAAAAGTGAGGGAAGAAATCAATTTTATGACAATTGAAAAAAAAAAAAAACATGATATACTAATTAGCATGATACCTACGACTTCCTAAAACCCCAAATGAAAAATGTGTGGGAGAGGAATAGAAGATGAACTGACTGATAATATCGCAGGGAAAAAATTTAAGATTAGGAGAAAAAAAAGGTAATAAATTATTATTAAATTGCAGGTACTGCATCCTTAAATTTCGATTCTTTGCTTTCACGGATGACACCGAGGGGGGACAAATGAACAAGAGAACAGATTAACAGGTGCTTAAATTAAAAAAAATATCAGCCCAGAATAAAATTAACTACACACCTATAGCTGAAATTTTTTTCTAGATCAGCGATTTTTTTCTGCTGAGAAAATAAAATAAAAGAGGTAGAAGTATGAAATGGCTTGAATACTGAACACAACAAACAGGAACCAAACACTGAGTCAATTTCAGCAGCCATTGAAACATTTGAAAAAATGAACTTTAAAAATTCAGGGCAATGAGTGATGCGGGATGAACAGGGAGGGGCACTCAAACTTGAAAGTGAAGAAAAAGTTCAGAGTAGAGGCAAGTCATAAATCTTATCTTTAGTTGATACAAGATAGAGTGATGAAAAGAGAGACTGGTGTTTGTTCAAGCTGATAGCATGCCTGAGAATGAACAGGTTGGTGTTGATATTGATTTGAGCCTCAATTTTTTAAGTATGCAGGTGAGAGACACAATAATAGAGAAAGTATAATCAAAATTCAAAGGAAATGAATGCGAGATGGTTGATTCGTTGGCAAAATAAATTACTAAAGAGGAAAAAGGGCAAAACTTAGCAGGCACTCTTCAAAAATTGGCTGACATTTGTACACAAAAAAGAGAAAAAGTTTCCAAATTTCGTTCATCATGAGCACATTTTACATTCATATACCTAGGGAATTTAGAGTTACTGAGCATATCAAGGGTGAAACTCCCAAATCACGTATCTTGCTTGTAATGTATAAAAATATCTGCCTCTGTTTTATTTTTTTAAAAGAGAATAAATCAACACCATTCCTTGAGGTGTTCTTAGAATTTGTTGCACAGAGAAAAATAATCGTGGAAGTCTCTAAGTACTGATGTTGACTGGTTCTCCCTTTAAAAAGTAAAGTATGGCAGAAAGTGCAACATTGCTTATCAAGATACGTGGTTTGGGAGTTTCATCGTCGATACACTTTATTCAACTCTCACCATCCATACAAAACAAGATTTTTCAAACTCACATCAATGCACAGTGTCTACATGGCAAACACCCTCTTGTGTTTCAACAGCTTGAATGTCTTGTGTTTTGGGATATTTCGACGGTGAAAGTCGGCAATCACATAACTCGGTTTGCGACGTCGCAGACTTCCTGTCATACTTTATTTTTTAAACGGAAAACTACTCAACGGTAATTCTTTAAAACTTCCGTGATTTTTCTTCTATGTGCGAGGAAAATTCTGCAAAAACATCAAGGAATAATGTCCATTTGTTCTCCTTTAAAAAAATAGCATAGTTGCGGAGATTTCAGACACCGCAAACGAGTTATGTGATTGCCGACTTGCACCGTCGATTTATGTGTCACAGATGTGGAGGAAATTTAATTTATGAAAGAAGAGAGGGTTTAATTAAACACCAAGGATTGAAAATTTAGACCAGATACTTTTCCATGATCATGATTATAACTTTCCTAATGAAAGTTTGAAATTTTTTTAACAAGGCAGGTACTTGAGTATTTTAACTTTCTGATAAAAGAAGAGAAAAAGTGTACATCGGAAGATGTTGTACTTAGATAAGCTGCAGTTTTTAACTGATGAACTAATGATCAAAACTCTAAACATGCGGTGCACTTTATACTCATACTTTTTAGGGTGCGATTAAACCTCTGATTTAAATCTGTAACTACAATCAGGACCTCCCTAAACAGAGGGTTTGGCTGTAAATTTCTCTGGTAGAGGGTGGGTTGGGGGGGGGGGGTCTCACTCGGAAAATTTTTAAAAAATACCACCTTAATGCAATTTTAAAGAGAAATCAAGAGCGGCAAAACAAATTGCGGGCCGAGTGGCACTTCCTACTTTTACGAGTCATCTCTGATTGGCCTATCCGCCTGGTGCCCACTTGCAGCGGCTCTTATGGAAAATAACATAGGGTTCATTTTCTATAGAAAGTATTACAAAAATCAGGGCAAAAATCAGGGCAAAATTTATGCATCAGAGATTTCAAAAATCAATTCTCCAGATTTTTCTAAAAAGATTGATGGGCAACATATTACACTTTTTTCTTGAACACACTGAACAGTTTGACCCGGAATGTATTTTTTCGACTTGGAATGCGACGTTGAAAGTCATATTCCAAGTTGAACTATTTGGTATGTTTGAGAAAAAAGTGTCATGTATTACCCATCAATCTCTTCAGAAAAATCTGGAGAATTGATTTTTGAAAACTCCAACACTTAAATTTTTCCTTGATTTTGAGATATTTTTGATGGAAAATGAACCCTGTGTTATTTTTAATAAGGACCCCAGCAAGTGGGCACCAGGTGGATTGGCCAATCAGAGACAAATCATAAAAGTAGGAAGTGCCACTCCACTGGCAATTTATATAATGGTTCTTGTTTTCTCTCGGTACACTTAGAGGTTCTTTTTGGAGCACAACGGAAAGGAGAGTTCAGACCGAAAAATGTATCATACTTTACAGATGTTTATTTGTATCATTAGCCTGATTACTCATCTCAATTGTGAGGTGTACTTTTAAATGTCATTTAAAGGTTGTACTGTACATGCATATTATATCAAAAGTACAATATTAAAAATTTTAAAAGTGTTTTCATCGACATATCGTTTAATTCATGAAGTTTAACGTTAATTTGAGTAACCTTCAGACTATCCGCACCTTTGATTTTCCGAACCACCCAGCTGCTTCAGTAGTTCAGATAATCCAGAGCATAGTGTACTCATAAGTACCTATGCTGGTAGCAAAGGCTTTTACAGATTGACCAAAGAGCCTACAAGGTCAGCCTGGCCACTATTACTTTTCATGAAAAATAAACTGAATTTCTTACCCTCGGCTTTTTGTCAGCTCCCTTCCTATTTGAATTTGAGGCAGTATCATCATCTTCAGCCTTAACCTCTTCATCTGAAAATCACATAAAAAAGATTTTTATTGAAGGAAAAGTGTTTGAATAATGAAATCATGATCCTTGTTGAAGCCTGATTGTTATTGGCTGGTAGGCCAACATACATTTCTATGTCATGACAGAACCTGAGGGTGCCTGACTTGTCTCCACCATCTGTATTTTCTCTACAGACATGGCTTGAGCGCGGAGGCCTTGGCTCGCACGTGGCGAGAGCGAGAGGGAATCCTTCGATAAAAACCACCCTCAAATCAAAAGGCTGAGATTGTTCCGTTGAGTTCTACTTTTAAGAACTTTTTACAATCCTGACTCACAGAAAAATCAAATTTTATTGTAAGGTATGGAGCTATGTTTTGGACCCCAACCTTCCGGTTGCGCATTGACTTCCATACCCTTGCTTTTGTGAAGTAGAATCCATTGAGAACATAGAGTCGTATTTAAGGTCTAAGAATTTCTGGGTTTCCACCTTTTCTTGGATTTTTTATTAAATGATTAGTAATTAATTATTTAGTGGGAGAGCTGTCGCCACTTTTAAGCATTTCGGTCCCAAATTCCGAGACTCCTGTGTCACGCCGGGTCGCTTTTTAAATACATAATTGATCATTTCCGATACTCGGGGACTTAGCCATCCAATGTAAACAAAGAAGATAGGAATTACTATGTATTCCACACCGTTGTTTTAGATAACACATGTATCAAAAAGTGACCAAAGCTAGGCACACACCAGGCTCGGAGCTTGTCGACCAGTATATGGCGCCAGCTCTCCTATTTACATTACGATTCTATGTGCTACCTGTTCGAATCACATAGAACCATGGCATCATGAGTTCTTGATGGGACATGAGTACTATCTCCAACCAGTTTTCAGGTGAGTAAGCATGATGCCATGACAGACAAACGTTTTCAATGTACATGTCGACGGTGTAAATCAGCGATCACATAACTTGGTTGGCAACGTCGCAGACTCCCTGTTATACTTCATTTATAAAATGGAAAACTAGGTACTCAACGGCAATTCTTTAAAACTGCTGTGAATTTCTTTCTCTGTGCAAAGAAAATGTTGCATAAACTTCAAAGAATGATGTCAATTTATTCTCCTTAAAAAATGACATAGAGGCAAAGATTTTCAGACACCGCAAACGAGGTATGTGATTGCAGACTAACGCCGTCGATATCTCAATTCGAATCGCAAAATGTGTGCTCAATCTGTAATGAGACCCTTTCGTGAATGTAGCAGCTGATTAAATCTACCATCAGACTTTTGTCATGCTGATGTGAGCCTTAAAATAGGCTAAATTGATTCATAAAGTATTGCGATGCTCCATCAGAGGTACTGTGATGTCAAAATTGTAGCGGTGGAAAGGAACTCCGCAGTGTATCATCTCACCTGAATCTGGCTGAGTCAAGACCTCCTTTACTTCTTTTGTGAGATTACTAAGCTGTCCTTTGAGAGAGGAAAGACCTGATTCAAACCAAGCCATTGTATCTTCTTAGGTGTAGGAAGTTCTTCCGAACCGAAACACGATTACGATGCCATTTTCATCATTGAAACAAGTGCACACAAAAGCGTACACCCGGAATAAACACAGTTATGAAACAATGCTTGAACCGATTAACAGAAAAAAAAACTGGGCACTAAGCTCGACGAGCCATTACTTTAGGCAAAGAAATAGATGAGACTCAAAGACAGAACTACCGTAAATTAGTCTTGATTTCCTGATTTTTTCTGATAGCTTATCACAAATTTCCTAACCAAACAAATGTTTGAGTGATGACTTCGTCCGCTAGATAGCGCGAATCAGGCGCGAACAGAGGGTAATCACGTGGCAAATACAAATCACCCGCCAAAGCTTTTAAATTAATGGCGGGAGTCATCTTGAGCGTCCAGCGTTGCCCGACTGTTCGAAATAATGACTCAAAAACAAATATTCATTTCCCTGAAATTAATTAAATTAAATCATTTATATCGTACTAAGTGTTTTTGTATCCACTACTTATAGTCCAAAACCCCGTGGCACTTGTCCTTCCACAGGGCACAAATCGACGGTGAAACTACCAAACCACGTATCTCGTTTGCGGTGTTTAAAAATCTACGCTCACATTTTATTTTTTTTGAAGTAGACCAAATCAATATCATTCCTTGAAATTTTCACAGAATTTTCTCCGCACGAAGAGGAAAAATCACAGGAATTTTCAAGACTGGACGTTCAGTAGTTTTTCGTTTAAAAAATAAAGTATGACAGGAAGTCTGCGACGTCGCAAACCGAGATACGTGGTTTGGTAATTTCACCGTCGAAATATAATTTTAGCTACCACTCTCAGCATACTTGACCTTTCAGAGAAATTAAAGTTTTCATCCATATATAGTTGGGATCCAATTATTTCCTTTCATTTGACCAATTAATGTAATACAGACCTTATAACGGGGTGTTCACAAGTTTTTTACGTCCAATTTTCAGACTTGTAAAATTTGAGTGCCAGTTTTAGTAATTATTTTACACAAATGAATCATGCAAGTTGGGACTTTAGCATCGTTACGTATTTTCTATGTATCAAGATTACAGCATGCCATGAATCAATGTGTTTTGTGATACTCCCTCTTCTAAGATAGTTAGGTATGCCTCAAGAAAAATTTCCTCCCCAATGCAAAAATTATTTGCAAGATTATCACGCAGAGGGGAGAGAGAAAAGGGTGGGACAAAACGGAGGCGAAAATTAAAAGATTTTGATATGAGGGCAACAGGCGACGCTCTGGACAGAAAATCTCAATTTGCAGCTTAATTTTTAAACAGCGAGGCGCCTTTTGGTGACTCGGTGTCTCGTGTGTCTCGTGTGTCTGTCTTCGAAAAGAGGGTGTCCATTGCTGGAGCCTCTCCTCTTCACAACGACTGAGGCATATTATTTGGAGACGGTGCGTTAATTGCTTCAAAGGCCGAATAGTTGCAACTTATAAAAATCCAATCAACTATAATAATAGATTAATGAGTAAGCAATACAGTATACATTTGCCTCCCATGATTCTATGGTGAAACACGTCGACGCATAAGAAACGCCTTCATTGTGAAACGATACTTCCTAGCGTGGCTTCAGGGACCGAATAGTTGCATCGTCTTAAAACCCAATCGACAGTGTAGAATTATAGAATATAGTGCGTACGGTGGCTCCAGATATTTCTTTTTTGGAGCATATCGACGCATAAAGGACGCCTTCATTATGAGGAGATACTTCCTTGAGGCCGAATAGTTGCATAATTTAAGAACCCTATCAACAGCGTGGAAGCGTAGATTAGTGAGAGCGGTTGCCTGAGTTAATTTTTTGTTGGAGCATGTCGACGCTTAAAAACGCCTTCATAGTAAAAAGATACTTCCTAGCGTGGCTTCAGAGGCCCAATAGTTGCATCATTTAAAAAGCCAATCAACCGAGCAGCAGCTTAGTGCGGATTCCGGTTTTACGGCTATTCAACATACTTGTGCTCATGGTGGCAACTTTACATGAGAGGATGACACTGACGCAGCAGAAAGACGTCGCTTCCGATAAAAAAAAAAAAAAAAAAAAAAAAAAAAAAAAAAAATCAGCACCTAAAATTAAGCAGCACTTTAATGAAACGGAAACATGTTTCCCGAAATTTCCGGAACACGATACCACTTCCATAGGGATGTGCGCACTATAAGTACTACCAATAAAATGCGCTTTGCAATCCAATCCCGCTACTTGTGACAAACTGACAACTGCATCTAGTTTTCTTTAAGATCCGTCAATTACTGTGACGTGGAACGACGCGACTTGGCGAATAAATAATTGTCTCGCATGACTATACCTATTTCGCATAATCATGACTTACTCTTTCAAGCATCAAGTATATGCAACCGACCTTTTTTTGCGGCTTTTAACGGATCAATTGATTAATTTTTATTCTTACAAAATTATAAAAATTAGAATAATTTTATTTATATCTTTATTTTTTTTTTATTTTGCTTATCAATTCACTGAAAAAAATGGTATGCTGTTTCAGCATCTATGAATCCTAGGATGTCAAAAATGTGTCTGGCGATCCTACGACGCTGCCTTGATTTGATTGCCCACGCAATCGAATTTGCATTCACAGGATGTAAAATTAACAGCGGGGGCAGTAAAGGCAGCATCTTGGGATCACCAGACACATTTTTGACATCCTAGATGCTAAAACAGCATATTATTTTTTTCAGTAGATATTTTGGGATTAAGTAGTTCCTTATGTTTTATCTTGTTCTGCTCATTTTGTATCCCTTGAAACATTTTGCGCACCTTTGAAGTTTCTTACAAGCTATCTCTATACCATGAACTAATGCGCTGTATGCCCTAATTTACTTGTATTTTATCCTCGTTTTAATATTTTGATCCGCGAAAAAAATATATGGATCGTTTAGCAAAATAAGGAATCAACGCAATTTTCTTTCTTTTTAAGAATACTTAATACATGTTCAGTATTAAAATTTACACAATTATTTTTCATAAAATTAACAATTTTTTGGTGGGAAACCAAAGCTATTTGCTATTCCAGGAGATTTTTTTTTAGATACCTAACGATGAAGAAGCAACATCTTTACAACACTGTAATCGCGCCAGTTCCTTTTTGCTGAATGCGATCCATAATGAAGATTCAGTAAATTTTTTATTTTCTCTCACTCTGCTTTTCTACTTTTGAATTGGATATTTTTTTATAAATGCATTCCAACAAAAATCTTTGCACTCTGTTATTTGAGTTAAGGGGCTTGGAGGACACGGCGCATAAGTGCAGTTTTTGAAAAAAAAATTGAGATATTAATGATTTCAAGTACCTAAATCTAGTCTTAATGCATATTCTGTGGAAAATTCGCTCCCAAGTTCCAATTTTTTAGCGTCAAAAAGTCAGTTTGAACTTTCTTTTCACCATAAAGACCCATGTAATATCGAAACTTCAAACTCGTATTTTTCAAAATAGCAGAAACTGGACATAATGCGCCTTGATGTTTCCACAGTTAATTGTTGAACCTTGTTGGATGAAAAAATAATAGACCCCTTCCCCTCCCCTCTTAGAAATCGATTTCTGTCGCACAAAATGCACGTAATGGCGTTTGCTCCCCTTGCAAAAATCTCTCATGACACACTGTTTGTGACCGTCAGAGAGAAAGGAAACCTTAGAAATAAAGTCAAAATTAAAGAAATGGGACGTTCTTTGCGTACCTAAAGTTTGGAACAAAAAACATCCAAACATCTTGAAACGAAACCAGAGCTACGGCTAAAATGGTTCAAAGATGAACTATGTGGGCTCAAAACTTATTAGAACACAACTTACAGAGCTTTCCGTCGAAATCTCAAAATCGATTTTTTAAATTTAAATCAACCTAAATCGCCCAGTTAAAAATGTTGTCCTCTTGACTGCCACATTTTCCTTTGAAATAAGACAATCACGGGAATCCTGGTAGATCTTTTTCTAATGAACATAAAAAGTAGAAATCGAAAACATCCATTGGATACGTCTGATTTGCGGACACCAGAGAAAAGAGCGCATTTTTAAAAATACCGCGTCTACAGCGGACAACGATGGCAACGGTCACCCACCATTCAACATTATTTCCGCGATCCGCGAGGTGCTCATGTTGCTTTTTTACTCGTGGTGCGTGGTCTCGTTGCAAGTGATTATTTGAGTTCAATTATGTTGTAAGTCTGAAGACACGTGTTTTATCAAAATGTCTGATTCTACTCTCTCTACGTTTTCTACGTGTGGAAAATATTTTAGCAGTTTTGGAGCCGACGGTAAACTACGGATATGGGATACTCTGTCGAACACTTTGAAGCAGGAGTACACTCCAAACATGCACCTTACATCTCCCATTATCAGTTTAAAATGGATCAAACTCTCAAATCCTGTAAGTTCAGGAGTTCATTTCATTAAATTAATAACCTTAAGCACTCTCCCAAAACTCAAAACCTTGCCTGAGGCTGGAATTGTCAAACCTCTTGTCGCAGTTGCTTGTGACCAGCCGATTCGCTAAGCCGACTTTTGAAGTGAGGTTACATTCCTCGATTCATCCCTGTGTCTCATGAGCTGAAAGTGTACATATTCTGACTGTGAATGTAATATTTGAAAGATTAGTCTATCCTCTCAAGTTTGCATAATTTGATGAAAGCAGTCACCGAAATTCATGTGCTGTTATCAGCAAAGTAGAGACGATAACAGCAGCCTACATTTTTATCCGATCACCATCAAATATTCACCGAAACCTATAATCTTCTCCATGTCGTAAGCGCAATAACAGTAGGGTAAAAAACATGGTAGAGCCAGCGCACCCATGAGTATTCAGGACGTCATGACATGAGGATGTTATCTGTTGCTCACACCATCCCCCTTAAGGGAAGAATTCTATTCAAGACAACTTTGATTGAAATTGGTATTTATACCTATCTCCCTCTAGCTTGGAAAAACTCTGTTTCAATGTTTTCGCTGTTTTTATGCCGGAGTATACGATCAGCATTGTTTAATTACTCAAGCTGGATGTACGTGAAGAGCTGAAATGGACGCAGGAAATGAAATATTTCCCTTAAACGCAAGAAATCTCTGTTCTTAAACATCATACCTTTAAGATACATATACTGGTGTCAAGATTTTCTTTTGGATACTGGTGATTACTTTGAAGAGATGGACTGCAGAGATTCCAGTGATGCTCCATCTCTTTCGTCCACGAATCGGAGCACATACCAGGCAAAAAAAAAAAAAATTGGCCTCCTCAAAGGGCATCGGAAATTCTCCTGGAACATGTAATGTCATAATAGCTAAAGACCACGATCAAGAAGTCGCAGGAAATCTTAGGATTTTCCCATGTAGAAACAACTCAAGATTGTTGAAGTGGTCACTATCTAAAACTTCCTGAACTCTCACCGAAGGGCTATTATTCTGCGCCTTTGAGATCACTTGTCTTCAATTTCATGTCAAGCCCTAAATTCGTAACTCGCTAGATCATGTTTTAAATCACAGCTCGATCATATATTCAGCATCGAATCGAATTTTGAACATATCTTCTTTGAATCATTTTTAGTTAGACGTATAAAATTTTACAATTTAAGGTCAGCTAATAATCTTCACCTCCTTTTGTGTGGTCAATCCGTTGAATGTTTTGTTCTTGTTTCAGACCTACCCCACCAAAATAAAACGAAAGTCATTGGATGATAATCCTTTGGAATCGGATATTTTGTTACTGGGTACCAGGAATGGACAACTTCAGTTCTACAGTGTTTCATCTGGTGAGGTGTCAAATGAGCTCGCCAAATCACATGACAGTGCCATAACATGCATGGCTTGGTGCAAGTCAGTAAATTATGTTTATACTGCATCGGAGGACTCGCATATTCTTGAATGGAGTCTTAAGAAGAACAAGATGAAAAAGTAAGTCCCTTCTGTTTTACTTCATCCAATTAAATAGCAACCTACGCGTACAAGTTGGGCCACAATTCAGGTGTGGTTTAAAAATGGAGAACATAAAATAGCTATCCTCTTTTTAAAATTTTCAATACAAATGAAATAAAAGCTGCGGGAATTTCCATCAGAGTCTTTGAAATTTTTCCTCTTTTGTTCCGAAACATTTTGGAAGTTTTGAAAGCTAGTTGTTGATATCCTACAAACATTGAAGGTGATTTAATGGCTGTAGGGTTATGAGTCACAACAGCATGCAATATATTGCTTGGATTACCTCCAAAATTTTGGCGAGCCCACTTTGAGATCCCAATTCTGTTGTCTTGAGACCAATGAACTTACCTACCAAATCTGATAAACAAATCCAGTGCAATCGAAGCAGGTTTATTTAGAGGGAAAAAATTGCATTTGATACTGGTATTGAAATTGCGTGTGTATGCGACATTTTTAACTTAATATAACCTAATTTAAAAATCATTTTGTTCACGTAAAACCTGGAAAAGTCTTGGAAATTCTTCTACTGAGGCTGTAGGTACCGTAAATAACTTTCTCATTAATTTTCACTTATTCTCATTTATATCTTGTCCGTGTAGAAAATGGTTTGCCGGAACTGGACGAATAACAAGTTTAGCATTGTCAGGAGATGGTAGCTATCTATACAGTGCTTCACGCAGCATTCAGTGGTGGGACTTGGAGTCAAAATCCGTCATCAAGAAATTCACTGGCCATTCATCAGCTATTACTTCATTGAGCCATGTCTCAACTCTCAGTGGAAACTATTTATTAAGTGCTGCTAAGGATGACAAATTTATAAGCGCCTGGTAAGACTCAATCACTTTCTGTTTATAATCTAGGATGGAGAAAAATTATGATTTTAATTCCATAGATCATGCAAGTGCAATTGACATAAAGAATGAAGTGAATAAAAATTGGTGACATCAAATGCTTTTGTGCCGATCTCCATACAGAACTGCTGAAATCTGCATGATAGATCTGCTGCAATCTGACTTGATTTCTGAATTTTCATTTCTGCCATCTGAATGACCTAGCATCAGTAAAAGTCATGAGATTGCAAGAGTGAATGATCCACAAATGTAGTAGCAAGGATAATGAGATAGAAATCATTGAATTAAGTGAAAGATCGAGTCTTGAACAACCGTAAATAGAGAAGATAAATAAATTTTCTTCATTTTACATTCATTTTATGAAAAATCAAATTTGATCATGTACCCGCAACTATCTGAATATGGAAAAAATTGCCCACTTAACAAGCTAATCATTTTTTTTAAATCTCCTCTTCTTGTAGGTCTCTAAATGAATCCAATGATGAGAAAACGTCAATTGCTTCATTTGTTCTTGATGACACAGCAGCTGAAATGAGTGTGTTCGCTGAAGATGATGGTGCTTCTGCAACCATGATGGCTCTCTCTTCCTCTGGCACATTGCACACTTTCAAACTTAAACTCAACGGGTAAGAGATTCAGCAGAGATGTTATTACTCATGTAATTGGTTTTCGCCTCATAGTCTCCTTGCATCATAAGGTAGAGTGAGGCCTCAATTCATCGTGTTTTCAGTAGAAAAAAAATTTCAACTCTTTTTCTTTTTTTCCCCTTGGAGGATGACAATACTTCCTCTACCTTAGGAGAGCGCGAAAGTTACTGATGGACTTTTTAATTTGCAGAAAATTCTACTGGAAAATCCCTAGTTCTGGCTATTTATACAAATTTTTTTACAAAGAATAATGTTCTATTAAAATATAATAAACTACCATTTTAGTGAAACTCACAATCTGTTTTTAAAATTAATCAGATAGAAGTCAACAATTAAATAGAAACCCATTTTTGAAATAATGGGTGTTTGTTAAATGCACTGAAATGTGAAAAATTGAAAAGTGTTGGCAGAAAAACTGAATAAATTTTTGTTTCTCCCAAAAGAAGAAAGTTGCCGTCAAAAAGTAGGAATTGCGAAAGCCGAGATGCAGGTGCCCAATATATATTACAGGAAAGCTGGAACAGACAAGAGAGAGATTTTTTTTTGCCTCTATCTCACGGATAAGGGGCCATTCAAATTATTTACAACGCTTTTTCTATTTTTAGATCCTCAATGTGTGATTTGACCTAGGCAGACTTTCTTTTTTCCACGAGGAAGAGGTTTGATTTTACACATATAGCTCAGGAGTTAATTTCAGTAATTTACAAGAAATTGTAATTAGGAATCATGTATCTGAAATTTGCACCTTGTCTAAGAGGTCCATTCAATCATAGGAGAAATAATATTATGAAGAATTTAGATTATTGAATTCTTAATTATTGCATAACTTGTTTATCATTCTCTAATGTTATTTCATTGAAATCTTCTGTATGTTGCAGAAAATGTAGTAAATCAGTGAAAGCAGATCATATAATTCAATTAGCGCCGAACGAAGGATCCAAAACGTTATCACTTAGTCCTATTCCAATTTGTTCTTCCCTCCCGAAATCGGATAGCTCTGTTTTAATTGCCTATGGTAGTGGCGTTCTTTTAAAATTTGAAACAATCGTAAGTCTTCTCTACATTTCTCTATTTTCTTAGCTCTTTTACTTGGTCTGATTTAGGAATGAAAAATCATTCCTAGTATCACTCTCCTGTAATATTTGTATTTTTCTTGTGATCAACAGATAAATTCTGATAAAAGCAAACAATCATGGTGAGAGCCTTTGTCTTAAATTTAAACTATTGTATGTTGTATCCTCTGTACAAAGCTGGATCAAATTCTAAATACATGTTAAAATTGCAGTCAACCCTATTTATAACGAGCCTCACTTTGAACGAAGTGATTTTGAATCCCTTAAGGAAGTCTCAGATTGGGATGTTCACTTTCAACAAAGTACATACTGTTCGATTGGAAGTAGTATTTTTTCCGAAATCAAGACGCACAGAATATTGAAACGTTGGAGTTTTCTTGAAAGTGTCGAAACAATTTAAACAGAAGCGTGGCTATGGGAGCAAAATCTCTTTGACTCATGTCGCAAAGACTCTCTTTAAATGGCAAGTGCCAAGGCTATTGTTTTATTTACACCAAGTGAGAGCCGTGGTTTTTAACCTTTCCAGTTTCGGAACCCCCAGGTCCTACTCAGACGGCTCTCCCCCCCCCCTTTCCCCTTGAAATTTTTTTTTCCTATTTTCTCCTGAGACATTCGACACCAACATTTGTGGTGCATTGAGTACGGGTGGCGCACCTTTCTTTCCATGTTGTCATGTTCTCCTTGTATTGTAAATTCTTTTTTTCCCGGTTTCTTAATTTATTCTACTTTTGCTTTGAGGTGCCCCTTAATGCCCTTTGTGAACCCTGGAGCTCCGCAACCTACAAGTTGAGAATAAATGCAACTTAAAAGAAAACATGAAAAGAATGTGCCTGATTTTCACAACTTTTTTTCTCAATAAGTTAATTTTCTGTCCATACTCTTTGCAGGCAATAGACTCACCAGAAACCTTAATCATCTTAGTACGAAAAGACACGAGGAAAAAGGTTTCCATTAAAAATCAAGACAGTTTAAAGGTACGTAGGAAATGTGAATTTTAAATGTTATCATTTTGCTTGAGATTTTATTTTCAAATTTTTGGCTCGTTAATTGCATCATTCCTTAGGTAAAATTGTAATTAGAAATGGTGTGATTACTAATTTAGTCCTTACTCTGCACTTATTGTTATTTTACTGGCACACCGCTGTGTTAGAACACAAAATTCAATGTAAATTTATGTCAAAAACTAAAAAGAAAAAACGCATTTTAAGTCTGGACTATACCTGATCTGTGCTTTACAATTATGCACTTACACCGTAAAACTTCAAAAACATCTGACTTGATTTTGATGTTTCAAAATACCTGCTCCTGCCTTAATTTTTTGTGAGAGTAATATCAGAACATTTTGATTTAATATTATTAAAAAAGTAAAGGAAAACCAAAGAATTTTGTGCATTAACAAGGTTTCAATCGTCAGTTAAAACAGGAAAACATTGGGAAATTTGACTTCATCAGGGAAAATCAGTCACAGAGTAGGAGATTCTCATTGCTTCAAGCATTTTTAACTGCATGCAGTTGAGCACATGCAAAAGTGAAACATTTGATGCAGTTCATCTAATATGTGTTCGAAATTATGTACAAGAGAAGTAATTTTTCCATGCAAAAAGCAGTATTTCCATTCAGAGTATCAGGAAAATCCAAAATGAAATTTCAGTAGAGACTCGATTAAAGATGCTCAGTCATTCCAATCTAGCTCTATTCTAGATATTCATAAACCGAGGTAGATGGTTTTCTAATTTGTCCATTCAAGTAATGTTTTGTTACTTTCGTTAGTATTTGTGCCTCTCATGTTTTGATTTTTCATTCAGGTTGTTTCTGCAAGTACAGCAGATGCTAGTTATTCACATCCCGGTGTAGTTAATGGATCAAATTCTGTAGACCTTAAGCGAAATAGTAGCTCAAAGCTAAAAGATTTACCAATGGAAGAAAGGCTGGAAAATCTACAATTGAATAAAATTGACACACCTGCTGGGAGTTCTGTCCCACCTGATAGTTTAGCACAGTTACTGATTCAGGTATATGTTTTTCTTTGCTTTAAAATATTGTTTTAATCTCCGAGTGCTTTTCCCACCAATTACTATCTCTGATCTCTCCTTTCAAGTCAACGGACCTGTTGTTTTTCTTTATTTTCTGTTCTTCCTATTTTTTTTAAAGTATGTAAAAAATCAGAATACCGTTTCCTATTTTTCATTTAATCAAATAGTTGAGAAAATGACTTTCAAAGTTATCAAAAATCCATTTCCGCTTCAAATAAAAAAATATTATGCGAAAGATTTTGTAATGTCACACAAAGAATTGACTGCCATGTACCGGGCAAACACATTTTGTGGGTGAAACTTATACAATTTGGTGAATGTGAAACTGAATTGAGAAGTCATTGACCTATTGAAGAAGAAGACCTTAAAGCAGTGATCAATGGACCACTAGACAAGATACGAATTTAAGAATTCTTTAGTATATTTCTCTCCAAAATTTCAAGTAGATCTCGTTTGGCACAACAAAAATTATAGACAAGCACTGTAACGGTTTTGGCAGACTTCTCAATCAAGCAGTTTTCCATCCTGTGCTGTTTAACAAGTAAACAGTGTACTGTGTCTTAGTCAAAGTGCAGAGCTTGAGGTTGTCTTATTTTAATACCTTAGAGACTCTCACGGTTAACTTTTATGGTGCGATTTAATGCAAGTAGATTATTGTTTTCTCTAAGAGGGGGAAGTCTGAACTTATGCATCAGAAAACGTTAATATCTTGATCAGGAATTACTTTCAGCAATGTTTGTTGTACAATTCTTGTTTTACATTGAATTTTGATGAGAAAAAATGTATCATAATGCTTAAATTCTCATATTTTCAAGAGGTCCTATGTAATCTATCAGTAATTCCTGTTCGTATATTGGCAGATACTAATTCTGATTTTAAAGAAGTGAAATGCCTGGAATGGCAAAAGTTACTTTATTTCCAGAAAATGATCCAAATAGTATGAGAAGTTTTTTTGTAATCATGTGTGTCCCCAACAAGTATAGCGAAACATTCATTGAACTGCGCTCTATACCAACCTAGCCTGGTTTGAGCTAAGGTAGACTGTCAGAGTAAACTTATTTGATATCACTTAGAGTTCCTTTCTTAACCGAGTGTGGCTCAATGGTGCAGCTTTTAACCTCTGGAGATCATTGAGTATTGGTTTAAAATGCTAGGCATTCATAGGTTAAGTACGCAAGTCATCAGTAATTCAAAGGAGCTGAAAAACGCTGACTGTTTGGCATCAGGTGTGTCTATTTCCAAACAGAGGCGAACAGTTTACTTCGATGATGCACCCTTAAAGTCGACAACATTATTGTTTTTCCTAATTGGAATGGCTTTTTTTTCCAGGGGCTAAAGAGTAAAGATAAGAACATTTTATACAGTGTCCTAAGTTCCAGAAGTGAGGAAATTGTGAACAACACAGTTGCTCGATTACCTGTTCAAGTTATTTTACCATTGGTGGAACAGTTAACATCTTTAACGCAGAGTAAATCATGGGGGTAAGGATTTTGTCATCGTTGTTAGTTAAGTTAGACAAAACCTATCTCTATTTTCGTTTCAACCTGCCCTTTATAAAAGAGCCTATGTATTAATTTATGAGGTCCTTCATTGAGTGTTCATTTAATACATAAGAGGCATGAACCAAGCAAAATCTTTTTTATTCAAAATATTTCAGTTGGGGAGGGAGAAATTATAGAATGAAGGTCGAACGTAAGGATTTGCCAAAAATGTTATCTTGAGTCATAGGACGAACTTTTTAAAAGTAAGTATGAAATGCCTCAAAACTAAAAAAATATCCCAGGTGGAATGATTTCATTGTGACAAATATTTCGCCACTCTCCAAAGTAGAGGTGGCAGATAAAATTTCTTGTGAAACTTTTGTTGAATTTTCAGAAAGGAACAGGCTTACCAAGTTTTTCGTACTCCTTCCAAATAATTGTGACCTGTCACCCAGCATGTTCTGTACCTCCGATTTAAGTTTAAAGGTTTTGTTCGGGTAGTAAAAGAACTATCCGAGGGCTTAAGAACAATATCGCTTAACTGACGATTTTGGCGAAAGTAAGTAAGCGACTTTTTTCATTAGCGGTGTTATTAGTTTTTTCAATTTCTACATGGGAATGCTGTAATATATCAAAGTAATAGCTAATCTAACCTCAAATAACAAAACTGGCCAAGTTTTTTCTGTCCTGTAAAAGAGATCGTGAATAGGCGGAATTGCTCCTTAGCCATTATTACAGTACCTCCAATCCTACTAACTGTCGAAGGTATCTAATACTATTTATTTGCCTCTTAAATTTTTTCAGAAGTGAAGTTGCTGTGCGATGGTTAAAGTGTATTCTCAGTGTTCATTCTGCTCAGTTGTTAGCTAGTCCTGATTTATCGTCAAAACTGTCTCCTCTTTTGGGTTTAATTGAAACCAGGCTCAACGCTCTACCTCCACTTTTAAGGTTGCGAGGTCGCCTTGACCTTCTTCTAGATCAGTTCAGTGGTAAACCGTCTGTGCCTATCACATCTTACGACCAATCTGACTTCCTTGTTTATGAAGATAAAGGTAAGTTTCTGTATTAATCAGGATTTGTCCACTGGTAATTGACTTTTAGTATCAATTATTGCTCCGGCAAGTAATTGATATTAAAAAGATAAATGATCTATAGACTGATTTAATGGCTACGTCATTCTATATAATATCGAACCCTTGGTTCAAATGTAAACAAACACAGAACCTTGTTTCTGATTCGCACCCTTATTTGCACCACGGTGGTAATAAGTGTCCAACTGTTTCTTACAATTGAAAGTTCTCATGTTTAACGAGTATTTAATTTATTTATAACCACTCAATGACTAAATTTTAATAAATTAATACAATTATCTCATGAAAAATTCGTACATGAGGTTATGTGATTTTGTTTAGGTTTGAACAAATAATTCGATATTATATTGAATGACGTAGTCATTAAATCAGTCTATTAAAATGGAAGCGTCTCCAAGTTATGCAGAGAGGGGCTGAAGAGATTGATATGTAAATGAAATTTGACAAACTCTCTACAAAAGCGGGTTTGAGAAAGTTGCTTTCATAACTTTCATTCATACTAAGATTCTGATGTGTTATTTAAACCAACTTTAAAACGTTTTACCTGCACCAAGTGTATCTCTGTGTTTTGGAAACCATCCAAAACAGAATTATTAAATGCTATTTCTGGTCTGCAATACTTTATTTTCACAGGTAATGTTGTTTGCTCAGATGAAGATGTCCTTCAAAGAAAAGCGTTAAACAATTAAAGTTGATGAAAAGAAAATGCGTTCAGGAATAAGGAAGAAATATTACGCTTCTTGAGTCTTAGAGTGCATTTGGCTGATTAAAAAAATCTGACAGTTTCAAAGAAAAAATTCAAAGCTTTTTTGAAACTTCAGTTATGTGAAACAAGCCAAAACATCACAGTAAACGATCACATATAATGATACACACCCATGAAGTTTTTTTAAAAAAAATATAGGGAATACTGAAATCAATTTCAGGTATATGAAAACATGAAACATACAATTTATCTGGCATACTCAGATGCGTCTCATCTGTCTTGTGGATGAGTGTCTGATATGATGTGACAGGATGGAGGAGAGTTTGGCTGCTGGTCTCTGTTGCTACAGATCAATACACTGGAATGCCAATGAGTGCATGTTTATGATACAAACAACTTTCTTTTCCAATAATATGAATGCATGCACGAGTTTTGGGGGTCCCGTGTCAAATGAAAAGGAAATCAAAGCATCGAAAGTGGCTTTTTTACCAGAAGTTTATTTATGTTGATTCCATATCCCCCTTTTCCTAAAATTAAGTTCACCACCTAATTATTCTGCAGGTTATAAAGTATGAAAAAGGTTATGTTATATTGAACGTATGGAAGTCCTAGTAATGCATCGCATCTATGATCACATGTATATTCATTATGTGTATGTTTAACTGGTATCTGTATCTGCTTTTTTTATACTTTGGTACATTGTCACGTTAAGTGGATTTCTGAGTGAAGAAATAAATATGTGTACATGATGTTAGCTCAGAAATGCCATAATACCTCTACTTTTGAGCACCAAAAAATTCATATTTTTTTATTCTTTTGAACCATCTACATGAAACTCGATTGGCCCCTTATTCAGGGCATGAATATGAATAATCTCTCAAGCAAATTTCCGAGGTAACAGGACATGCCAGTATATTCTGTTCAGTCGGAAAGGTTCTCAAATACGCAGTAGAAGTTTCTGCCTACAATTTGGAAAATCAGTGCAAGTTCTCTGCAGGCACCTTAAAACATATGGAAGTCCTAGTAATGCATTACATATATGATTACATGTAATGTATATTCATTATGTTTATGTTTAACTGGTATCTGTTACCTAGTTTTAATATTCTAACTCGTTATATTTATTTATAATAGATTCTGATGAAGAAGAAGGTAGTGATGACATCCGAATGGGACACACAACTGACTCCTCTGGAGAAGATCGTTGGGATGAATTATCTGATGAAGAAAGTGTAGATGGTAATGGAGAAGACGTAGAAATGGCTTCAGATTGAGATCCTCCAATTCATCATTTCTGTAAGATGTAAGTAACAGTGAAACTGAGGTAAATAAATGAATTAAAGTTTTGAATTTTTAAGGAATGAAGTGTCAAAGTAGACAAGGATTTTTAAGTACGTAAAAAGAAGAATAAGTTATCATGACTCGTGTGGTGCAGAGTCTTGTTTTTATGTTATTTAATGAATAAGAAATTGTCACTTTTATTATTTTGGTCCTAATCCAAATAAATTTATTAATTTTGGATCTCTATTTTAATATATATTTAGAAGGTCCTTTTTGGAACAATTTCCTGTGGAAGAATACGAGAACTTATTTCATTTTCCCAAATTTGTCCAGTAAGTACTTAGTTACTTAAACTGATTCCCTTCCATTTTTTTCATAGATGTGATGTCTGTTTAAACATCACTCGAAATATAGCCTTCTTAAAACAGCCGTGCTTTGTTGGTTTTCGTTAGAAGTCAGGGATGAAAATTACACTGAAATTTTGTTTTGACAAACGTCACTTTAATGATTTATTCAATCAACAAATTTTTTTCTCGGTCCTGAAAAATTCCTACCTTTTTAATGTCAATTTAATTATTTTTTACAATTTTTCGGTTTACAAATACTCAATTTAATGAAAGGAATCTTTGGTCTGAGAACGATTTTATATTGTAAATTGAATTCCATTTATCGATTGTATGGAAAATTTCAACTGCTCAGCAACAGCGCAAGGCCGCAGGATACAGGGTGTAGACATTTTTGCACGTTCATTTATTGTCACTGGCGGTCCAAGGATCATTTTCGGGCGCGGCTAGATTGGTAACTGCGGGCCTAGCGATTTTTTCTCTGGTGAAGAGAGTAATTAAGAGGTTGAGTGATCAATGATCAGTGATAGTACGACCTCAACCCCTACCGTGTACTTCTAGACTACCATTGGGTGTATTGAAATCGAGACCCTAAACACCAATCTTGATGTTATTCCGACCAATTCCTGCACAGTTAAAAGGATAGGGATAGTGACGATATTGGTTTTAGGCAAGCAATTCGCAAATAATATCGAGGTTGAAGACTAAGAGAGGTGCGGTGCGCTCCTTAATGGATTAACTAAATATGTCAAAATTTTTAAAGGTCTGAAAGCAGGTTTCGTGTGGTTTTTGATGAAGTACATTTTTTGCTGGTCCCTAGATTAGTTAACGTGAGGCTTGACTGTACTTGGTTAAGTTAAAAATGTAATTAAGGTGAGTTTTTTCTCAACGCTGTTCCAAAAGTTGATGAGTGGTTTTGGCCGGAAGCACACCTCTAGTGTTGGAGATTAGCTTCTCTTCTCCCTGGAAAAATATCAATGACCTTTAAAGAATGGGAATTATGTATAGGATCAAAATTTCGCCAGTTAAAGAGGTTTTTTTCACAATTCATTTCAGAACTAATATTTGGATAAGTATTTAAGCTCTGAACTGAATTTCGCTGTTAACTTTCTTTTGTCCAGGAACTTTTTCTCCTTGTATTTCTTTCCTCTATTTACAGAAGAAAATGGAAAAAATAGCAAGGAAAATACAGGGAATTGTTTTGTGTTTTACAAGGAACCAAGGTTTACACTATATGTGTCGCAAACCATAGAAGTCCTCTATTTTAAATATTTTCTCGGATAAAAATCATGTTGTATACTGTTCACTTGACTGATGAGATTTCTATTCAGCCATTTAGTGGAAGCAGTCTACGTTTGTAGACTGCCAAGGAAACTTACCAAATTAAGAGCCATTACAAACAGTACTACTCGGAATTCCCTAGTTTGATGCTATGACCAATCATGGTGCAGATTTGTTTTGAACCTCCAACCAGAATGCACATTTTTTAGTGAAAATGGCCACACTCTGAAGTAACAGAACAGCTTAAGATTAGTCATCGCCTAATGCTGTTCTGCAATGGCATCGCAAGACAACTCCACTAAGTGATACATCCTTACATTGTTTGCTTTGATTCACGTCACAACTGATATCGTAACTCTATTTTTAAACTTATATATATCTGTTATCAGGTCCTCGCACTTTCAATGATTAACAATTATACATTTTTAATTTTATTGTGCTTAACTAGGTATGCCATGCATTCAGTACTCAGGAAATTTATTTTTAAGGTGCAGAAAAGAAAGTTTGTGTAGTCTGAGATCAGTATGCATCAGACATGTTTTGGAATCCTGGTAGACAAACAAGGATTTTTTTTTCATTGAGTGATAAAGCTTAGCATATGGCTTTTCCAGTATGAATTTTCTAATTGAAAGTAGATGTAATGTTTAACAGTGTTAGTCTCAAAAAATTTTGTTTTGAGCTGAAAGGTTGAAAAGGAGAAACAAGAGGACACTCTAATTTTGTACCGGTGCTTGAAACTGGACTTGAAATTTGCCTTTTCAACAAAACTTGAATCAAATGCAAGCCCTCTGAGGCATAAATTATTCAAATCCTTTTTCAAATTTCCCAGTATTGTTGAAGAGTGATTTACTTATGCTGTTCTCACTTTTTAATATTTGTAAGATCTATTATAATAGAAGAAACCTAGTTTCTGATGATGTCACGGTGAGAACCAAAAATCAACACCTCATCTTAAATTGAGTTAGTGTTTATTTTCTGTCACCTACAACAAAATATATCAGCTTTATATAGACTGATTTAGTGGCTACATCTTTCTTGCAGTATTCGACTTAGCGTTTCGCGATAATTACGATAAATCGTATAGTTAATTTACGATCATTCGAACCAATGCAATAGAAAGTCACGTCATTGCCAAATACAGCATGAGTTGGTTGTGTTAATTCATTACAATTTTGGGATGAACAAGTCATAAATCAATCAATGACTCATTGAACACAAAAAATTTTGATTGCAAGAAACATCTGGACACATATTACTACCATAGTAAAGCCCAACAAGGCTAAGTGCCTGTTTGCATTTGAACCCTCGAAACTGTAGATTAAAAGTTAGGTGTAGCTAATAGATCAGTATACTTTATAATGATGATGATTTTTTCTTTTCTTTTTTCCTAATGATGAGATTAAATGTACGTATTTATTATCCGTCTCCTTGTAAAATTATCTAAGATCATCTCCTGCCATGAACCATTTTATAACGAACCGCTCAAATCTACTCTCTTGTAAAAAATCTACTTTGTGGAAGATTTGGTCTCGGTCATGGATTCATTCGTGTTGTTATTTCAGTCGTTGATCGCAAACCAAGCAAAAGCACAATTCTAACTTTATGTCCCTCTGAAATTCTATTTTCATATTTTCTTTCCTACAGTTAATTTACTCAAATGATTTATTTTAGTCGTTATGTGAACTGAAAATATTTGATTCATTATCGAAACTTGTAATCGTGTCCTTAAGATGTTCGATGAGTAGCAGTAATCAAAGTCTACTTTTCTCTCTCTTTTTTTCTTAAGTAAGAGGGAATGCATTTTTGATTGGAGAGATTTAGTTTTTTATCACTGAACTGGCTCATACATCGACTCATTATTATATTCTTCTTTTTATGTGATTTTCATTGATTGAATATCTCGGGGTATGTCTAATTTATTATTTTTATTTACTTTCACCGCAGTTTTGTATGAAAATTACAATTTTTGTTAAAGTAAATTCTAATATCTTTGTTTTTATGTAAATAATTATACAACCTTATTTTATGGAAAATTATTGTTCAGTTTTTTAAACCACTCAATTTTGTTTTTTATTATAAAAAAAATAAAGCGAAGACAATTTGTCATAGCCATTAGAAATGAAGAATTTTGAAATGCAGTGTATGGATGACGAAAGTGCTAAACCATGTATCTTAATCGCAGTAGTTCCAAATTTTCACTCCTATTTTATTTGTTTCAAGAGAAACAAGCTGACTTTTTATCTTAAAATTTATACAGAATATTTTGTTAGCAGAGAAGAAAAATCAAAGAAGTTTTCAAGAAAATATGTTGACTAGTTTACCAATGAAAAAATAATGTGAGACATGAAGTCTGCAATGTCTAAAACGAAGATAGGTGGTTTTGTACTTTGGGCGCCGATTTGTCGGAGTTAGTGTTGCTAATTTCTGTCCACTGTCATCAAATGGCCAACTAGATAGGGTGAGATGTTAAGCACCACACTGCTGTGCTGAGGAAGAACGCTGTAAAAACCTTTGTACGCTGCCAAATTTCTGTTCACAAAACACGAATTTTCAGGAAAACTTGTGAACATCTTTTGTCCAATTTTTCAGAGAATTTTCTTTGCAACTTTATTTAAAGTAACTAAGAATTTCCAACAGAAATGAATGTACATAATTTTTCTCAAAAATGTATATTTTAAGAGGAGAAATTTGGCAATGTACAAATGCTCATCAGGCGTTTTTCCTTTGCACAGCATGTTTTCTCATCCTAATTGTGAAGGAATCTTCCCTTGTTCAACATTCAGATCCATAAATGAATCATTATTTGGTGAAAATAGGTCAAATAGGAAAAATCAAACTCTATTTCTTACATTCAGTCTTGTGGAGGAAAATAACTTTCCAAACTCCTTTTTGACTTTATTTCTTAATGTGGATTGGTTTTTCTCTGCGGAACTTGGTTCAATTATTGAGTGTTTTCCTTTCAGAACCAACCACTATTTCATATGAGCATCACACTACAGAGAGTGCATTGTCCGAAGAGATATTGCAAGAATGTACTTGATTTATTATACCGGATTACTGTCCAGTTGTATATAAATAAATTTAATGTCATAGAATTGATGTAATACCATGTCTCTGATTATTAAAATGCAAGTTGAGTAAAGTTTAAATATCAGATGTCTGTGAGAACACAACGTACCGGCTCTCTCAAAATTAGGGTCATAAAATTGAAGGGACAAGCCTGGAGGTCTGAAGTAGACTTTTACATTTGTACTTAGAACACTATTCTCAAAAATCTGACTTCTCTAAAACGAAGGGGAGATAAGTTGAAGCAAAAAAGCACATTGCTTTTCTAAAATTTATTGTGAACCCTGCTTTGTATGGAAATGGACAGTCACAAAATTTAGGTCCTCAGTAAATATTTATGTAAATCTTGACTTGTAATCATAAGTTATCAAATGAGTAACCATAATTAGAGGGTTTTAACCTTATAGATTCCGAATCATGTTTCTGATGAGGAAGTATCCCCTAAATCCTCACTCAAAAATTATTCTTGTTGGCAAAAATTTTAGAATGAGCATAATAAATTACCGGAAAGTGCCAAATGTTACGAAAATTTTTGTCGGAAGGTTGCAGTTGCACCCTTTTAGAAGGAAGGGATTTGATAATCAGACAATGTTTTCAAAGTATAAAAGCTTACAAGCTGTTTTTAAAGTATGACATTGATCGAGAAAGGATTCGGATGAATCCAGCTCAAGAGCTGAGCGCTTCCCATTTTAATTATCAGATCCAACGCCTCCAATTTCTTTTGCCCGACGGAGTCGTCAGTGCGAGGTTAAAACGCCTTCATTTTCACAACATGCAACAAACCTTACACCTTTCCGTGTTTGAGAGTCGAGGATATCTGATGGGAAATCAGCGTGTCAGTGATGATCGGGTAATAATCCCCAACGAGCCGCAGCTGCTGTAATCCAAATATCTCGCTCACAGGAAGTATTCTCATTTTCAAAAATAGTGCATTCGCGTGCATGAAACAAATAATTAGTATGCAACACATTGAATACCGTAGTTGCATCATTTCCTCTCTGTTTTGTTTACAGCCTGGAGAAAAATGCTGCCGGTTTGAAACTTAAAAATTGATATTTTTTCTAAAATGCTTCTTTACCACTTAACTAATGTGATCTTGTCAAACCGGCAATATTTTAATTTTAGTGTTCCCTTATTTCCAAGGAATCAACATTTTTTTGAATACACAGTAATAATACATTCCCCGTTCAAAAGTCGCATACCGCACCGACGGCAACACTGTAATTTTTCTTCTTTTTGCGCATTGGTAATTGCCATCTTGTCTGCCGTGACACCGAGTACCCTCGCGACTCGCGGATTCCGTCATGATGAAATTATTTCGCGAAGTGCGTTTTCTTAGAAGTAGGAACCATCTTTTGCCTGATTCAATCTGCTCGGTAAGTGTCACATTTTCATTTACTTGGCCTCATAATTTCCTCTGTTGTTCGTTGAAAACGGCGACGACACTTTGCCACATGCCTTCTTTTGTCCGAAGCTTCTTGCACGTGCCTCCTGTTGCTTGGTACCGAAAGCTCGGAATTGCGATCCTCATTCGACTTTGCATTTCCTGGCAATGATTGAATCAGGGTTTTTGTTTCGTCTCCTAATTAGTCTTCTGAAACCTCTACCTCAATTCTGAAGTTGTCACTGACCCAACCTCCTGCCAACATTTGGTTGTCTCAGACATGACTGGAATGTCAAAGCTCTTATCCTCTGTGTCAACTAATTCATTCTCTTGAGATGAGACCAAAGATGCTTTTCTGACCACTTCCAAGTAAACATTCTGTAGGATATACTAAAGTACTTAATCCTTCAAACACCAGAAGACATTTCATTTGGTCTGGTGTCAGCAGTGGTCAAGCATTATGAGCCATCTGCTGCCAGAATCCGAGTATCAGGCCTTCACCTGTCAAGACTGGAGCTGATACTGATCAAATACTCCATTGGAACGGTGTGTATAACGTCACTGTTAGCTTCATCATTGTGTAATACATGCCCTTAGCTTGAGAGCAGGCGAAAGTTGAGGGAAAACTTGGAAGTTGTGATAGGTATACCCAGGGGCAGTTGAGCAGAATGCTAGCCCAGCGATAGATGGTTGAATGTTGTGTAATCTAAGGGATGTGTGCAAGCAATGTGTGTGGGTGAATATCAAGGAAACATGGAGACTCGGAGAGTGCAACAGACATTGTTCTAGCCTGAGTTCTCCCACCATTATCTTGAGAGTTAAGATATTGAAGATTATGATCTGTCCTCAAACATTCGAGTGATGCCACTTCCTCAAATTCATGGTACCTACCTAGTCAAGCTCATGATTGGCTACGACGTTATGTAGCAAGGCGTTTACTTGTTGAGATAACTGTTGAACTTACACTGAAAGTTAGCATTGTAATTGTTTGCGTATTATTCCTGCTTCACTCATTGTGACCGTGGCATGATGAGTTTGTCTGACTCATCATTTATTGGACGAAGCTTTAAGAACCACTGATTTCACCATGGAGGTAGTTTTATCTCACATCAGTGCAGCATTATTGGTGTCATCAGGCTCCATTAGTCATAGCCACAGGAACACATAGTTAGTGCAAGGAGCAGACATGTGAATAAATATGGAGAAAGGAGAGTCAGTGATTTCTGGCATTGGAACAATTAATTGTCCTTTGAAATTTTTTCTCAAAGCAAGAACCAATAGGATATTTCCAAGTTATGAGACAAGCCCGCAATGGAGTTTAAAATTACCAATTTTTCTCCTTCAATTCATTTTGAATGGAGTTTACATTTTAGTATCCGGTTCTCAATATCTATACCTAGATCATAGTAATCCTTTGAACTCTTGCACTTCTTTTTGTCTCTCTTCTTTGAGTGCACCGTGGTTTTGATGATGCAATATATATCTACTCAATAACACTATTTTTCTACTCATTGGACAAACACAAGTTAAAAGGAACTTCCAGTTGCATTAAGTGAACTGAATGTTCCTATCTGAAGGAGAGTTAATCGTGACTTGGAAAATGACCCTTTATCACCCAGATCATTTTTGGAGTACGATGATACAATTCAATATCCTAATCAACAACCTTCCCATTCAAAACCTATCATAATTATGGGCAGAACCACCAAGTTTGTTGGTGTTGGNGGGGGGGGGGGGGAGAAGAAGTATAGGCCCTAGGTCCCTCCTCCCCTCCCAAAAAATTTGCTCCAGTTTTACTCATCACAGGGAACTAAGTCTTCGCATCTTTTTTCTAGACTGACGAAACTTTATTGCTACAATTAAAGGTTTTGGGTCATTTCATAATTTTCCAAAGTTTGTGGAATAAGTTCATCCCTTCTTTTGAAAATGAGAATCCATGCAGTGTGCAATCCGTACCTACTTTTGTCAAATATTTCGAATACATGTCTAGGAACATCAACCTTTTGCTATAACTGGAAAGTAATATAATTCTAGCAACATCAGACTGCAGTGAATAAGTACTTGCATCAGTTGAACTGAGAGTAATGTCAATGGTCAATCAGAGACAGAGTTTGACTGAACAGTACTAATCGTATGCGGCAAGCTAATCAACTCTGAGAGAAGATTCATTACACTTCTAAGCTCTTTGGTTTTAGGTGTAGATAACTTCAGGAATTCATGTAGAAAGTACAAGCAACAAAATTAATTTTAGCTGTTGGCCTTTTTTCTCTCATGTCTGCCAAGCAGCTGCAACTCTGATCATTTGCTGAATGGAGGAGAAAAACTATTAGTATGTTGAGTTTTTAAGTTCTCATACCTAGTGGGCAAGCAATCAGTGAAATTTTGGTCAGTGATAAGGATATTTTTTTTAAAAATGATACATAGAATGCTGCCAGAATTGTTGCCCAAGTAGCACAGGTTACAATGAATTGTGATCTCATGGTAAAAGAATTGCTTTTGTGTCAGATTGTATACCTTCAACTGATCGCAGTGACTCCTTTTATTAAAATTTATTGCAATAGGTAAAATTGAGGAAAGTTGAAATTTTTTTCACCTCACAAATTGCCCATATTTTTGATACCTAGGTTCGTGAATTCATTTTATTGATCAATTAAAAAGAATACTTCGATAGTGTAAGTCGGCACTCTTATAACTTGGTTTGCGACGTTGCAGATTTCCTGCTATACTTTATTTTTTAAACAGAAAACTACTCAACAGCAACTCTTTAATACTGTCATGATTTTTCCTCTCTGTGTGAGGAAAATTCTGCAAAAACCTCAAGGAATGATTTCAATTTGTTCTCCTTTCAAAAAGTAACATTGAGGCGGAGATTTTTAGACACCGCAAACGAGATATGTGATTGCGGACTTTCGCAATCACATATCTCGTCGATTTATTGACGAAACTTCATGGTAAAGGAATTGCAATTTTATGTGTCGAACTATTACTTTTTCAGTTTTTATTGCGCCATGCTAGTTGGGTAGGCTCCTATGGGCCTGTTTCCTAAATTATATTTCTGCTGATTTTGTTAGACATTTTCTTTAAATCGTGTCTTCCAATAATTCATCCTTAAAATCTTAATGAAGTTAAAAGGAGGGAAACAGTCCTAATCAAGGAATGACAGTCTTTGATTTTTTTTTTTTTTTTCATCTTATTCATTAAGGATGGCATTAGGATCATAGATAATTAAAAACAAAAACAATTGTTGTGTACCAGTAATGCAAATTTTTATGTATCAATGAATGGATGGTGTGTCAACGGTAGACAAAAAAGCTACCAATAAAAGTAGTTTTCTCTCTAACAATGGAGAATTATTCGGACGGAGCAACTGAAATATTGCAAGTCTAACTTCAAATCTTTGTCGTGAGGAACAGATATGCTGAAATGAAGGAAATTCTCCACAAATTTTTAGTTTTCAGAAGGGGGTCATTTGATCATATAATGACGTAGTCTTGAACTAGCAGAGAACAAAATATAAGGATTGATCAAATGATGATGTCATATTCCGTTAATATTCAGGATGAAATACGAAAGAGCATCTTGAAGCGATGTGCTAGTCATGATTTGGTGGCTTCAAGAAATAGTATGGCCAAGAATATTAGAACCTGTCGGGCACTTCTAGAGTATGATATGATCAACGGTTGATGATTTGGCACTTGCTGCACAATCTCTCTTCATCACTAACATAGAAAGATGATGGTTTTAGAACATCGCATTCCATCAATGTTTTGTGAGTATCCAAAATACTGTGTCTTCACTCTCTCTCCTTATTGGTGTGATGCTGGTTGCTTTAGGTGTTCTTTTAGGTAGTACAAAATGTATTATACCGAGTACCCGAAGCTTGACCTGAAAATAATTAAAATCATTATCAGTGTCTGTGGAAAGGTACATTCGATGGATTAGGAAAAATGGTAATGGTATCAGTAATTGCATTATCTAGGTGGTGGCTTTTTTCTCAATCCCTTCCGCCCCCCTTTTCGAGAATGATGTGTCAATGATACCAGGAAGCCTCTCTACTTGATTAAACAGCAATAACCCTTTTCTCTGGCTCTGGCTGACCAGAAAAAAATTTATTCTAACGCTTAGTGTACCTTTCAGAGAGTAAGTATACTTATGGCCTTTTTGCATTCTGCAAAATTTCTTTCATAAGGTTTCAATGAAGTCTGGGGCCATTAGGGAGTTTCTGGTTTCCAAAATTTGTTCGAAAATTGCGAAACCGTACTTGTAGTTTGTCTCATCCCTAACATTTTCTGTCCTGTCTGAAAACCTGAATTTTAACTTCTGTTGGACTCGGTCGACATTTAAAAGTAGGTTTAAATCTTGCGTCATGATTCACTTTTAAAGTGAACTCTCAATCTTCACTTCAAAGATAGCCATGAGTTTTTGCGACTGAAGAGAACCCTCCCCAACAGATAACTTTCTCCCCGCCTTCAAACATGCATGCTGAGATGATTGCCCGGTGGTAATAATTTGGACTGAGTTAAGCAGAAAGGAACCAACTCACATTTTGGAAAAATTGAGTCATGAGTGGTTTTGAACCCAACCACTGCTTTACTCTCAATCGCCAAAAATTCAAAGTTTTTGTTGGAGCAAATTTTTCAGAAATTGAACTTGAAGTTTAACTTTTACATTGAGTCTTATGCAGGAGCTAAACTTTAAGCCTCTTTTTCTCGGTTCAATCCCGATGTGGCTTGGTTCCTCTCTATTTAACTCCGTCCATTTAACCCTCACACAAGTGAAAATGATCAGTGTTTTTTTAATACTGTGCTCAGTAAAATTTTCAACTCAAAGCTTCCAATCTTAAGATGTGTCCTTTGCATGTGTTGTGTGACAAGTTTGGACCTACTTGGGGATGGACTTGAGATTTCACGCTACAGTGGTACAATATCCAACCACGAAAAGAATTAGGGAAACATGGGCCACCATAATTCACAGATCATAATATTAAAAAACTTACAGTGGAAAATATAGGTAAGAGCTCAAAGTAGGCACGAAAAATATGTATTGCCAGCATTTCATTTTGTCCTCATTCCATTGTTGAACCCAACTGAATGCACAAACGCTGAGCGGAGGAATGAGTAATTAGTGGTTTTTTTCTTGTGGGATAGTATCGCAACTATGTGGAAATTATTTTCGGCAGAAAATCACGATTTCAATACAGGAACTTAAAAAACGTACTCGTCAATGTGGGTCCAGTCTTGGCTACATGTGTTCGTCGAACGATAAACATTTAACCTCACTTTAATAGCAAACGTAAATAAACAACAAGTTGATGAAGTTGACAAGTTGATCGAATTAACACAGAAAATACAAAATCATAAGGCTATTCTTGAGAGGGCAGTCGACTGTTTTACTTTCTTTCGTATCAGGAGGATAAATCCAACTTTGGGATGAGATTTTCAACTTCCACTCCGACAAGTAGGAAATTTGGTCGGTCGGGTAATGCCTGTAAATTTGAATTTGTTGAAATCTGGCATCAGCGTGACAATCATTCTCAGGGCGAATGTAATGCGGTCGTTGCTCACCAGGTAGAGTTGCCTCGCTGTAGAAATGCCTTGTCGTTCTGGATCGAAAAAATAAATGTATTTATGTAAAATGGATGCTCGAGGGTTTCAGAAAATTTAGAGGAGATTTTGAAGTATATTAAAAAATAAACGAAGGACCCCTCATTGGCCTATGAGGTTGGTGGGAAAGGGTGAAAGGTGGCAACTCGGGGAAAGAGGCGCAATGCATTCGGGTGCCCTGTCACGTGAGCCCTTTGTTCGGTATCGCTTCTCGGCCTTAATGGCTAAGATCAAAGTGTAGTATCTGTTCTTATCAGCTTAATATCTGATACGACCCGCACTGCGGGTCCAGTATATTAAACTTATTTTTGGAAACAGGCGGAGTGTTAGGGGCTTGCTCCACCTCTGCCACGGATCGGCCCGGTATTGCAGTACCGCCGGGATCGGTCCAATAATCTTTATCACTTCCCTCACTTCTAGACTCAGAAACGTTCAGTAGCCTCGTTGCTTGTGACCTTTCTCTTGATCGTTCTCGTCTGTCCGATTTATGAACAGGCTTGCACATTCATCACCTATCATTGAGGTCTGTGGCAGTTTCGTTGCGATATCCGGTACCCGTCGGATCGCAGGAGATTTCTCAGTTGGACCACGTATAGGAGAAAGGAGCTAAGCCACATCAGCTATTCCCAAATTTAATTGAGAAATTTAATTTATTGCATGAAGACGGTTGTGCGGATTTGAGTGCAAATTTCAGTGAATTTGCTGCCGCACAATACGAAGAAAATTTCATAAAATTTTCCAAGGAATCCACACAAACGTTCTCTTGTAAAAAAAATTGAAGGGCCGGATAGACGAGGAAGCCAAGGGGTGCTGGACTACAGGGTGGCATGAAACGTAAGAAAGAAATGAAAGATTGGAAGTTTCAGTGAAATATTTCATGAAATTTCACGAGGCTATGAAATATTTCATATTTTTCAGAGGCTAGAGTATGCAACCCGCACTCAAACACACGAAAATAGAAGAAAGTCAAAATTTTACATTTTGCTAAACATGGGAAGGAACCGGTATTTTTCAATATCTTCCATGAATTTCCGAAATTTGAATGAAATATTTCACGTGAAATTTCAAGATTTTATTTTTCATGAAATTTTGCCATCCTGCAGAGCCGCCCGGGCCCCTGTGCCAGCTTCTTTTTTTTCAGAACAGGGGCCTGTAATTTTTTTTTTTTTTTTTTTTCTTTCAAGGACAGGGGCCCGTAGATACTTTTCATCGTTTCAACTTTCATCATTTTCTAGTTTCCCCTTTCATTTAATGCCAATAATTATTTGCATCCAAATTTCTACGCCGTTTAACCTGTTCCGTTTTCGACTTTTAAGTGATATTTAATGTATATACTGGCAAAAATAGTTTTAGGCCATTGTTTCTCTACAATTTAGGACCCTTTTTCAGATTTATTAATAAATTTCCAGCAAAATAAATGAGAAATTTCCTTAATTTTTCATCACTAAAATCGATTAAATGGCTGTCTGAAAGTTCCCAGATTTACGAATTTTCCGGAGGGGGAGGGGCGGACCCCTCGCGCGTACCAGCCGCCCGGGCCCTTAAGTTTCTTTCCAGCCCTGGTTTCGATTTTTCGACCCCCGACCCCCGGACTAGGACCTTCCGCAATTTAGAAAGCGGATATTTAGGTGGAGAAGGTAAGGTGCATGAAAGTGGAAACTTTAAAACGACACAGGTATCTCGTGAACGGAGAGGGGTTATTATCGTGGCATGAATACATTTAAAGGATACTGTGCGTTCTAAGCTGATAATAATGAAATTGCTCCGTCTCAAAATTTTAGTCCATTGCCGCAGCTCAAATTTTCAATTGTTACACCTTCTTAGACTTAGGAGTTAAGGAATCGTACGAAAAATAATCGCGGAGTTCAGGACCACGGGTAATTCTGGGTCCTGTGACTCGTAACAACATGCCAGGCTTCGGCATACTGCAACGTACCGGATCGTCTGTTATAGCAGCCGTTCGTTCATGTTGAATTTGAGCAATTTTCGCAATGCGGCGTGGTCTTTTCACTTGATCACGCAGGGCATCTTACGATAACATTCTAAAGGGTGATGTATTAGATTATCCGGGACAGCGCGAACGCAGTCCCGACTCCCAAAAATTACGCGCCCGAGGTATCTACATTTGAGATACTCGCAGGGGTCAGCCCAACCGGAGTGCAATGGAAGGGCCTCGCCCTGGGGGAACCGCCTTCTTGATCACGGTAGCCCCCACGCCAGGTAAGTATGAGTGTAAAGTGTGATGCTTGGGGTACCCACCAAAATTGAACCTCCCTCAGTCACCGAGTGTGCAAAATATTCATTTCGTGCGCATTGAGATTAAGTGTGAAAGAGAATTAAATTAGCCGTTGCAATCGATTGATCATTCCTTCAAATTGGACTTCCTTCAGCTCACCAGTCACAAAATATTATTTTCTAATTAAAAAGAGAATGAAACTGATCAGAAACAAATCACTCCAGTGGAGTGAGTCATCGTGCACACGCTGTACTTTATCTCCTGGAAGTGCAGATGTGAGTCGTCAGAGAGCGCCTCCTCCTTGGCTACGGTTAGGTTAGGTTAGACAAAACTCGGACAGATCGCGTTCAGAACAGATCAACTATCAACTCAAGGAGCGCCGAATTTAAACTCGCGTGAGAGAGTTCACAAACAGACATTCAGCAATGCGCTGGTGTTCTTCGGTATTGTACTTTATCTTCAAAGCACTTTATTATTTCAAAGCACCAAAAATGTATTTTTAAAGAATATGGCAAACTGCCATATTGCTTATCTACCAGTTTCCAACATTTTCATTGAGAAAAAAAAGCAATGTCTAAAACAACAATCAAAACTAACACAACCAATGCAACAAGCACCTCGGACACAACAAATTCAAGTTATGTTTGATCAAACATAACTTACACATGAACAACCAACACACAAAACACAACAATCATATCAAACGCGTCACACACAAGAAACATCCAAGAAGCGAAACACACCAAAATACACGAACGCACAACTGGACTACATTTTGCAATTTGGAACTATAAATTCTAGCCCGGTTTAAAAACAACGTTTGTGCCATTAGTTTCCCTATGCACATGTAAATTTTTCCAGAAAAACCAGAATTTACAGTTCCAAATTGCAAAATGCAGTCCAACCAATACATCTGTTACCTTTGAACACGATTGGAACTCTGAAGGTGTTTCGTGTGTTTGTAATGATTGATTTTTCCTCTATGTTTGATCTGTTCCAAATTGTTCTCAAATCTGATCGACGATAATATTTTTGAAGCTCATAAAATACAGCCACTGAAATAAATGATAGAATATAGATAGAGAATCACTGCTGACGGAAGAAAGCAAGAGGACTTGTGACTTTTCTTCCCCAAGTCCCCACTTCATCTCATCTCTCGTAAATAAGGGAACAGAAAGAACTGAGAAAACTTAAATGCCAAACATACATTTTCCAAAATTCGACGATTGTTACGTGCATGCAAAATTTCTTGGAATAACATAATTTCGAATTTCATGGAATTATGAGTGATTCAATGCAATTTTAATAAGTTCTTGATATGGTCTCAGGAGGCCATGCATGAAACGTCTTGGTTACGAAATCTTTTCAAAGCCCTAAATTTCAATTTTTTAATGGTTAAATTCAACAAATTTCGCGCGAATACCATGAGACCTCAAATTCTTCTTTTTCATGATTGTTCCAATCTCATTTCGGTTAGGTACTAGCTTTTTTTTTTTTTTTTAACGTTTTCGTACATTCATTCCGTCCGTGGAAAATTTATGCATGGATAGGAGAATGAAAACGCTCTCGGAAAATAAATTTCATGAAATACCTTACAATCGCGATGAGTGATTCCACTTTGAAGATATGTAAACACCTCAGCCCTCAGCCTCCCCCTGACTGGTGCGCGGTGCCGCTGATTTGTACTCTCCAACAGAGAGCGCTGCTAGTCCTCGTCGACAAGCCGGCCCGTGCACCCCCGTGTTGAATCTTAGCGCGGTCGAGCAATTTTCATGATCGTTTAATGCCAATTTAAAGTTTAAAAAATAGCTAATTGGTCAATTTTTCTTTCTGATCTTAAATTTGCTCAATAATTCACACCAATCAAATCCGTACAACATGCGAAAAAAAGGGATCAATACGACGGCAAACTCTCCGACAACAGGAGTAGTAATTTTCTTCTTTAGCGAGTTAGTATATAATTCGGAACCTTTTCGGCACCCCTCGTACTCGCTTCGGCGGTACATATACTAAAATTGGAACGATACAGAGAAGATTAGCATGGCCCCTGCGCAAGGATGACACGCAAAATCGTGAAGCGTTCCACATTTTTTGGCAACTTTTTCTTCATGGCAGCATCTTTCTTTGCTTCCCAAGTTTTTACTGGATCTATGCAATCATACTTTCATACATAAAGGTACACTATTAATAGACGAGGAGGGTCTCGCCCAAAAAATTTTAACCGGAAAGATCTATAAATGCCACCATTATATTTCGATGTCATTTTTGTTAATGTTAGCGGATCTGTCGGTCTGGCAGGTCATATCGGTGACTTTCAATGGGTGACTTCAAATTTCAAAAAAATTTGCCAAAATTTAACTGGAGAGATCTATTTATGAAATCTTACCAACGAGTAGAATGTGATGCACATACCGCAAATGAATCGGTCGGCAGTCGAAATTGGCGACCGACCAATTCAAAATTTTAAAAATTGCCCAAATTTTAACCGGAAAGATCTACCGATGAAACCAGTCGCATTTTATTGGAAAAATAGTCACGTGACGATATTTCTCGGTCTGGCAGTCGATATCGCTGACGAAGGTCCTGCCAGACCATCCTGAAGTAGAGAAATTGCATTTTACTTGATATCGGGGTACTAATGGATGTGTGAGTTTTG